CAGAAAAAACTGATGTGCATTGGGTAATGAGTTGACAAATAAAAACCTGATGTTCATTGGGAAAACAATCAACACAAAAAAGAGTGATGACCATTACCTTGGGGTGTGAATGGAAGAGGTATGGAACTTTGTCTGAGCAGTGGACAAGCATGAAGACATTCTTGTTCTCAGCAGCACAATTGTCAGCCTGCAGGTAGAGGATAGAAGGGCGAGTGTTGGAGGTGGTGTTAGTCAATAGGCAAGTTCAGATGTGGTGAAAGAGTGTGGAGATGACAAGGTTAGCATCTTTTGGCCAAAAGGGCTGAGGGTGTAGAAAGAGGTGTTTGCCATGGCTGTGGTCAATGAGACCACCAAGGTGGCATCAGGAAGGCGATCTCCAATCACATCAAAGAAAGTGGTTAGCCATAAGTGGGTATTGGAGGTGGCATTTGAGGGATGTTGCTGTCCAGTGGTGTTGTGTATTGGGACACACCCACCAGAAATGAATATCTGTTTAGCAGAACGCCACTTCTTCCTGCTGAAACCATGTGCCTTGTAGAGCAGCAATGTGAGGTGGGATAACAAATGTAAGGCTGCAATAAAAAGGGTTGGCACCTTTTGGAAAGCATTCAAACACACTGGAGAACCATTGAGTTGCAACTTGAAGTGGCACTCAGGTAGTGTTGAGACACAGCTGGCTGACATGATGTTGATGATTGTGTTTCTTGGAACTCCAGACCAATGAGCTCACAACAGTGGAGTTGAGGAAAATACTGGACAAATTAAAAAACCTGATGTGCATTGGGTTTTTTATTTGTCAACTCTTTTCCTGATGCACATTGGGTTTTTTATTTGTTGACTCTTTTCCCCGATGTGCATCAGGTTTTTTATTTGTCAACTCTTTTCCTGATGCACATTGGGTTTTCTATTTGTCAACTCTTTTATGCACATTGGGTTTTTTATTTGTTGACTCTTTTCCCTGATGCACATTGGGTTTTTTATTTGTCGACTCTTTTCCCAATGTGCATCAGGTTTTCTTTTCAACCTGTGAGAATCATGTTCTCTAACAGTTTGTGTTGCTGACCTCAACCTTACTATTCAGAAACGAAAATTCATACGCTCCACAAGTGAACAGTGCTGGTGTCTTTCTGTGTTGGCCATGGGGAAAATGGTACAAATCAACTCCTTCCTGTTCCAATTCACACCCCATTACTTTCACTTACACCACTATTATCTGACTTCCACCTGCAGTACCCACTGCCACTGAAGCTTCTGGCACCACTCCAACCACCCCAACCAGTACATTTTCATTTTGCTGGTAAAGTTCCAAGCTCACCACATGCTTGTTCTTTACAGCTACCAAGAAATGTGGCAAGGGTAAGGCTGAAGAGGAGAAGTCACCATCTACCATCAAGCACAAGGCAGAGCTTGCTCTCCAGAAAAAGTATCTCCCCCAATTCACCAAGTCACTCACCAAGCTTCTTGGCCAACCAACACAATTCCATGAATGGCCAGTGCATTTATTGGCCTGCATTGTTTTCCTGATGGGCATCGGTTTTTTTATTTGTCAACACTTTTCCCAATGCACATCAGGTTTTTATTTGTTGACTCTTTTCCCTGATGCACATTGGTTTTTCTAATTTCACTTATTTCCTGATGTCCACCAGTTTTTTTCTTCTGCAGGTGTTGATCTACCTGCATGACTTTACCATCCACAGTGTGGACATTCCTCTCAACATTGAGGATGCAGCAACTTGCCTATCAAGGTCTTACAGCGTCAGATTCTACATCTCCTCATCTCCCTCCAACATTGCCAATGCCATCACCTCACTCAAGTCACACTCCACCCTCCAGGTCTTCCACCTACTCCACTTCTACTACAGCTCCCCAACTTACTCCCACTCCATGCCCACCTCCAAACGTGGCTTTGATGTTCTCATCTTCAGCCACAAGAGGGTTAACATGCTGCCATCTGGCATCCTCTGGCCAGCGACACCATCCCCAAACCCTTCTGCTATCTGCACCACATCCCCATCCCACACCCAATGTGTGAGGTTGTCCACTCTGCTCCTGCTTTCCTCACTGCTCAATCATTGGACCGCACCCCACTTCACATCAGCCTCTACAGCTTCCTCATCCAGAGCTTAGAGCTTCCCAATCCTTCTCCCCACCCCATCACATCACCCACCACTCCCTACCACATTCTCTATGAGGCAAATCCCACCTACTACCTCTCCTTCTGTGCTGCCCTTTACTCCAGCTTTGTCTGCCTCTCCTCTACCCCCATAGCAGAGGGCAACATCTCCTCTCTCACCAACTGGCTCCTCACCTTCCACTCTAAATTCCTGGAGGAGTCAGATCTCACAGCCATCACTTCCTTCCTACAAGCCCTAACTTCACATCCTGCCCTTGCCCCTCTCACACCCAAGACCAGCTCCTCCTCCTCATCTGGTCCACAGAAAGTGCAGAAGTCCATTGGCTAATGTTTCCCTCCACTCTGTTCTGTTCCTCATTTCAACAAAATACATTAGCCCTTTTTTTACACTTATGCCTTGAAATTCTTCATTGCCCCCATCTGCTTTTACCATGACCTACACCATTTTTCCCTGTTTTGCCACTCTCTGTACATATTTTGCCAAAACCACTCACACACCATGTTCACAAAAGTACTGCTTTCGCTGCACATACACATATATCACTTGTACAGATTTTACTTTACAAAAGGTGCCACTGGCACCTTTTTCTGGACACAGTGTTAGGTGAGGTCAAGATTACTGAGCATTTCGCCAAAACAGATGACATTGTTGATGGCCTTGTGTTGAAGTAGAAAGCACTGCTTCATTTTGAGCATGTTGTCAATGTGCTGATTATAGAGAGTGCCCCAGAAAAGGCCTAAGCCCTTGGCGTGCCAGACACAGGCCATGTGGTTGCCATGCATGATTGTGGCCAAGGTGAAGGGGATGGCTGCAGAGAATTGGGTGGGTGTTGGAGGTTCTGACATCACCATGTCATGTAGGTCAAGCTGGTGGTAAGTGCACACTATCACTGTGTAGAGCAATTTGGACCTGCAATCATTTGGGTGTCAGGCTTTTGTTTGTTACCAACTACACCAGAATCAGAAGGCGAAGGCAACCACATACCAGTGTTTGGTGATTTTTGTGACAGATGTGTCCTGCTAAACTCCAGAGGGAGAATCACCTTCCCAGCACACAGCATCTGCCATTTAAGTGGGATGCAGGCCTCTGGAACACTGATGCACTGGTCTGGTCACACACATCTGCCCTCTGGCATGGCAGGGATTGCTCAAGCTCCTAGAAGCACAACATCCCTGTAGGAGTTGTGTGCAACCTGAAATTGAGGCTTGCAGCATGTGCTGGTGAAGCACAGGAGTGGGGTTACCTGTCAATACTTGTTCTTTTCAAGACTGTGCCCACCCAGGGTCAGTGCAGCAAGGAAGTGGCCAGCCCACAACAGCTCTCCACAGCCAGCCAGCATGTGGAGGCACTCAAAGGTGCTCAAGAACCTTCCCAGTAGCCTCAAAGTGAGTACTGTGGCACCTCTCAGTCCACAGGGCATCAATGTCACCTTCCTTCAACTTTAAGATCTGACAGAAGTTGATACCATCTTTGTGTTATCACCCAACCTCAAGCATAAGAGATGCAGTCCACAACTGGGGAAAATGAACCAAGAGGAGCCCTTGCAAGGTTGCTGAGGAGCTTACCAATTGCTGGATCTCTTGCAAAACTGAGAGTTCTGAAGTACCAGTCACTAGGTGCTCAACAGCTGCATTGTAGTCTGTGAATGTGTCCAATGTGGAGGAGAAGGAGACCATCTTGTAGCTTGTGGCCCACTTTGCCCAACAAAGGAGTCTCTGTGCAATGATGATTTGTGAAGGGCAACAGGATGACCTACAAGGAGATGCACCACATACCCATGGTGTTCTGCTGTGCCAGCTGCAGATTAACCAGCCAAACAAATTGTGAGTACTATTTCAATCTGCATCCTTTTGAGTTCTTTTCTGTTGTTCACTGGGGGGGTTGAAAATAGGATTGTGGGTCCGCTAAGTTTTCCCAAGTGGGGCAGTCTAACAGGGAAAATGAAACTTGGAGGACTTTTAGGAGGAAATTTAGCTAGGGGCCTATTTTCAACCCTCCCACTGCGTCTTTTCTTTTTAGTTTCTTTTTGGATCCGCCTTGTTTTCAGTTTATTGTGGCCCGCTGGTGGTCAGGCTAAGTTGGTCACTCTGGTGTTGTAGGTTTGGCCTCACCAGGTGTCGTCACGAGAAGTGGGCTGTTCGCAACTCGTCTCTTCTTCACCGCTGGGGACGAGGCATCATCGCGTGCCTTCAGTGGCGAGGCGGGCATCTCCTTCCGCTTCTCACCCACCTCACTTTCCTTTTCGTCGTCTCCTTCCTCCTCTTCGACCTGGGGTGTCGGTACTTCGCCTGCCTCCAGGGTAGTCTTCGTGGGCGGCTTGCTGTCGTCGTCATGACTGTCGGGCTCGCTGACAAGTTGGTCTCCTTCCTGATCTTCACTGTGCTTGGCTTCGATTTTGACGACGCTCTCCTTGTCTTCTACATCATCCACATCGGCGTCGCGTTTTTCCTCACGATCCTCCAGTACCATCCCATCTTCTGTTGAAGTTCCTGTTGACGGCAGCGGTTACCAACCATGCAAAACTCAACTCTCTCTCTCTCTCTCTCTCTCGGCTTCCACATACCCTTGTTGGCAAGGAGTTGCTTGGCCACGTCCTCGAGAGTAGCGTCCTGTTTGGCAAGCGTGCAAAAGTACTCGAGACTGCGCTTGAAGGTCAAACGTTTTGCCCGCCACACGTAGATCTGTGGCGGTGGACCGGCTCGGGTTAGAGTTTGGCGACGAGGGGCAGCGTAGCGTGCAACCAACTGGCAATGCCAAGAGCGAGGTGATGCGGAGCGGAGGGAGAAACACAGACCTTGTCCGTGTTGATCTTCTTGTACTGGGACTCGATGGCAGCCTCGGGATCCATCTCCTCAATGACGGGCTCAAGCCATTCCTCGAGCGACACCATGCGACCGCGCTCCTCCTTTTGCAGAAGTGCCTGCAGATCTCGTACTGATTCCCTATGTGTGGTGGTGGTTGTGGTGGTGGTGTGGTGGTGTGGTGGTGTGGTGGTGTGGTGGTGTGGTGGTGTGGTGGTGTGGTGGTGTGGTGGTGTGGTGGTGTGGTGGTGTGGTGGTGTGGTGGTGTGGTGGTGTGGTGGTGTGGTGGTGTGGTGGTGTGGTGGTGTGGTGGTGTGGTGGTGTGGTGGTGTGGTGGTGTGGTGGTGTGGTGGTGTGGTGGTGTGGTGGTGTGGTGGTGTGGTGGTGTGGTGGTGTGGTGTGGTGGTGTGGTGTGGTGGTGTGGTGTGGTGGTGGTGTGGTGGTGGTGTGGTGGTGGTGTGGTGGTGGTGTGGTGGTGGTTGGAGGCAATAGCAGCACCACAGCCACCACACGAACAGGTACGATGGGTGTTGTTAGCTGCCGCTCGGCACTTGAAGAATGGAAAAAGGGAGAGGGGGGGGCAAAGTACCCTTCG